GCTGGCTGAGGAATTCTGGGAGTTGAAGTCCACAAGTCTTAAAGTTGCCAAGGTTGGACACCCCTGCCTTAAACCATCCTGGACAGATTGGAATCCTGGGTAAGGAGCACGGGGTGCCTTGGGGGCGGTGGGGAAGGTCTTTGTCGGACTACCGGTTTGGAGTTAAAATCCTAGAAACTTAGGATTTTTGGTTTTACCGATTAGACTGATAAGATCTTTATAGAAACTGATAGTTTATATTATTATGAGAAAAAAAAACACAAAAAGTTGTGATTTGATGTTAATGCCTTATTTTGCTGCAACAGAGATAGTTGGGAGTTAATGCTTCTTTTCATTTTTCTTCATCCTTCCTCACTTCCATCCCTCTTCCTCCCCATTGTTTTCCTTTTATATTTCGTTATCTTATTTTATTTTAGAACAATAAAAATGATAATGTGGTGGAGTTAAAATCCTGAAAATTTTAGCTTCTTTCCTGCAGGATTTCCTTTCCCCTCTGTTCATTGCATAATTTCAGTGGACCAGTCGTTATAACAGACAAGCCATCTTCTTCCTGAGGGGAGTGTTTCAGGATCTTTTTAAATTATTACTATTTGAGTAAAGATCTCTACTCACAGGAAGGAATGTGAATGACACAACTACCTACCAGAGGTAGTTTCTCTTATATCCCCAGTGTCAGGTGTCACAATATTGATCTAATCTTGTGGTTTGTCACATGACTGCTTTGTAATTACATTTCAAACATTAAAAAAAAACTGAAGCAAAAAGAGATTTACAATGTCAAACATTTAAAATAAAACCAAGATCTGCCCTAGTGAAACGCTCAAGTCAGCTCTGGCCCATTTTACTGCTGTTGCTTAGTTCGCCTATTTTCAAATTTAGTTTACTCACAAGATGGATTAATTCCTTTGCAAGCTGGGTAATAGACACAGCAAAACTGGTCCCAATGTTGTAGATTTCACCTGGCTGCCCTTTCTTCAGAACAGTAAGGAATGCTTCTGCTGCATCACTAGCATAAAGAAAATTTCTTTTCTGAAGTCCTGAACCATGAATGCAACTAAAGGAAAACACAAGAATAGATAATTTTTTAATATGGATTATTAAAAGCAAGGCCCTCGCTAATAGCAGAATGGTCTAGTCAAGTTTTCAAAGAGTAACACTCACTAAAAGACAGAAGAAATCTCTAAATCTTTCATTTTATTATTCAAATTAATAGTCTTTGCTGGGTAAAGTATGCAAAAAAGAAAGGCCAAGTTCAAAGCAAATAATAATCTACAATTTCTATTAACAGTAAAATTCTAGATGACACATAAAACATGACATTCCTAAACTGCAGATTGCTGGGGACCGTGGGAGGGGAAAAAGAGATTAATACACAGAAGCATACAGCTTCCTCAACCAAGATTTTAGATTAGGGAAAAGCACAAAACAATAAACATGATCTAGCACAAATTCTATGACCTCTGCTGGTGGAAAGATATTAAACACCCAAATACAGCTTCTCATTTGATCAAAAGCAATACACACACTAAAATAGATCCAGGCTTTGAGTACCCATTCCCCATTTGTTTATATTGCATATTTAACAGTACTAAACAATTCCCCACTATATAAATTAAGAATTTCATATATGGAAACATAATTATATGTATTAAAATAAAAATTAAATACACACCAAACTCAAAGCTCTGTTCCCTTTTCTTAAAAACCCTTTGTTCCCTTTTCTTACAAACTTCTTTGGCAATAAGAAAGGAACTAATTTTATAGGCATATCTGATTTTTAGCTATATGTTCAATTTTCAGGGTGCGACATGGCTTATTTTCTTACACAGTTGTTTTTAAATGAACACACACATACATATTAATACATACCATTTTCTATTCTGCTGTAAGAGAGAAATGAACTTAGGAATAACCTAGGAAATATAAAAGACAAAATGAACAATTATTAAAATTCATACTACTTTAAAACAGAAAACGATGTAGCTTCATTGCTGCAAGTAAGTTCTCATTAATGCTAGCTTCAGATCTGCCATCTTCAGCTTGGCGCCTCGCTGGCATCCTGCCATCAATCAATGGACGGAGAGGCAAAAAGAAAGTAGGCAATTGGCATGTAAAAGGTAGAGTTGACCTAAAAGGGTGTGTGTGAGAGACAGATTTGATGGAAACCAGAGGTATAAGAACCAGCTTGTTCCAACCTTCAAGGTCCTGGAGCTTGGGAAACAATGCGAATTGCGTCAAGTGGCACAAAACATCTGAGTGGTTCCCAAAACACCTATATGGCACATCATTGGTTGAAGACGAACCAATCAAGGGGGAAGGGCCAGGGAAAAAGGGAAAAAGGGGGAAATGCAGGAACCTTAGATCTTGCCTTGTTTTTGCTGCAACCGCTACTCCTTAGTAAAAGAACTTATCACTTCATGGATAATGGAGTCGAAGATCTTTCTTTCCTAGCTGGGGCAAGCCTATCAATAAACATAAAAATCCCTACCTTCCTTCAAAAAATTGCACTGAGTTATGCAGCTGGTATCAGGAAGTGGTTTGTGTGCATGAGGCGGAATGAGAAGAACCTCAAGCCTTGTTTCAACTCTTAAAGCAGCTGATTAAAAGGGAAAGTGGTGGCAAGTAACAGGCACATATCTGCATAGTGCTGCTGCTGGAGAGAGTAAAGGGGATGCATGTGCAGCATTAACCCATAACAGAGCGCTCCTTATCTATCTGGAATTCTTAAAGCAGCAAAGCCCATTTTCACATACTAGAAACTTGAGTTGTTCAACATTCATGCTGTTCATTCTGTAAATTAAAACTTTAAAATATAGGCTAGACACAAAATTATTATTTAATTGGGCTATTGGAGACACTAAGACCAATTCTCCTGTAAGCAATTATCAGTGACAGAGATAGATTCACAAAAATCACTTTCTAGCCCAAGGATGGCCAGCAAACAAGTTTGGTCACATCCCACTCCAAAATAATTAGAAGTTAAAAATTGTACTAATTGGATACCCATCTTGCTCGGTAAATAGTTCAACCTATCCCCATCAGAAATCTCAAAACTTCAGTTTGGACATAAAGTGGCAAATACTTTATTCTAAGCACAGATATATAATGGTCAAGCCTTTGGATCATTATGGAATCTGATAACAGATGCAGGTGCAGCTTTTGGTACATTTTACAGATTAAAAAAAAATGCCCTGAGTATATGAGAAGATTGACCTGATCAAGTCTATTTATTATAGCTTGACCATATCATGAATTGTCCTAAAAACAGTATACAGTTTGTCACTTTTTCAGGGAACATGGGAAAGAAACATATTTCTATGGTAAACTATAAAAGCTTAAGAAAAAGACCTTGATTTAACTTACTTTTTCTGGAAACTGATGAGGTCCATAAACGTTGCTGCTCCGTGTGATAACCACTGGAAACTTTAACGTACACATGACAACTGTATTAAAATGAACCCAGTCAAAACTGCTATTAATGACCTAACATGAGTGATATCCAGGTAAACCCATTCCTGATGGCATAATTACTATTGCCAGAACAGCAACAATTCCCTTACAGGTTGTTTTTTTTTTGCTTCTCAGATTTACTACTAAGAACTGATATCAATAAAACAGAATATGTTAACTGCCACTTAATGTTTGATTGTGTGTCATTACCATACGGTGACAATCTGTCATGGGGAGGGTGGATGCTTGGGGGAAAGTGAAAGTAGTAACTGCTGTATTACCCCAGACGCTGCTTCAAGGTCACCTGGCTGGGAGAAGAATGCAGCTGCATATGAAACTACACCTGAAGTGATTGTTCTGAAAACTTGTTTGAACCTGATTGGTCATGGGGGATCAGTGATGCAAAGCAGTTAAGGGAGGGAGAAGCTCAACTTAGGGATTTTGGGACCTGAATCTCAGTTCTGGCTATGCACTACTGCAATGTACTTCATTTCTAATAAAATATACCTTTCTCAACAAATGGAGCCAATGATCATTTCTACTGTTTGTACATGTTTGAGGCAGATCTGACAGTGTATTTGTGGCTTAGGGTTGAAATGAGGGGTCCTTGATACTCTCTGAGCTTGGTTGTTGTCTTGCAGACATTTCATCACCCAAATTTAGCACTGATATTAAGGGCTGATGTCCAGGTGCACTCAGGTAATGCCTGACTTCAGCCATTATTTTTTGCCGACAGAACAACAAAAAAACATACATTGCTAAGGCAGAAAGGCCTTAAAATGATTAAAATGGCACATTTAGCAGGAAGATCTAACTTGATCCACTACACCTAACATTAAAGATGAAAGTCCAAGGAACAAGCTGGTTTCTAAAAACAACTGAGCAACCCAGGGCCCCTAAGCTACACCTAATTTCTAAATCTGCTTCCAAACAAGTTGTTAAAAATTAGTGGCATGGTCTCTCCCCATTGGGAGGCAAATAATGGTAGAAAACTATGGTATAAACTTTAAAAAAACTTTTATGCAGTTTAAAATACCCAGCTCTTTCTCCATGCTAAACAAAAGCCACAACCTCACCTTGGCATATGGGTGAGGTTGAGGTGGATCCCAACCTCCCCCTAATAAATGTGGCCTCCAAGTTACCTTTCCCAGCTCTACGGCACAAATCACTAGCTCTTGTTATGCATTCACATCCCTTTGGACACATACAATTTTTTACAGAAACTTTTATGACCCCCCCAATGTAATTTATGCTCACCTGGTATCTTTCCCAGTAAGATTGGACAAAGCATTCAGCCGCTGCCTTAGATGTTGCATAAGGATTTGTAGGTTGTTTGGGTGAAGATTCATCAAATTCCTGCAGCAAAAGTTTACATGGAGTAAATTTTAGCACAGATAGCAGGAAGTTACACATGGCTCCAGTTAACTGGTACAAGTAACTCCAATACCGGCAACAAGTTTTAAGTATCCAGTTGCAAAATATATACAAGTAGTCCTCAGGTTATGACCATTCATTCCGCAAACGTTCAAAGTTACAACGGTGAAAAAAATTGTACTTATGACCAGTCCTGAGAGTTCTAACCACCATACTGAACCACAGTTACAGGATTGTGATTTCTGATGTTCCTTGCCAGCTTCTCACAAGCAAAGTCAATTGAGATGCTAGCAGGAAGTCACAACCATGTGAGATCCTTGCCTATTGATCCCACTCTTTACAATGGCCAGAACTGCCGTTGCTAAGTCACAACATCACAACAGTGATGGAAATTCTGGTCCCAACTACTGTCGTAACCTCAGGACTGTCTGTACTCATAATTTGTTCTGCTTACTTGTACATCAAATTACAATCAGGAAACATTCTATAAGTATACATGCAAATGGCCTCTTCAATGCCTTTTTTTAAATAGGAAACAACATAAGGATTTAAAATATTGATATAATTTATTTATAAGAGTTGGGAGCTGAAAAATCACTCCGAACCACACAGGAAAAAAAAGGCAAGAATTTGAACCTATAACAGCTCACCTTATCACAACTTCCTCCGTAAACTTCATCAGTGCTGACATATACAAACTTTTCCACATTAGCCTTATGAGCAGCCCGAAGCAGAATGTACGTTCCATAAACATTAACATAGTTGAACTCAAGTTTGTGCCAAAATGAAAGACCTACATTTTCAGTCAAAAAGAATAAAGAAGGTGTCATTTTGACAACTGAAAACAATTACAATCCTTAACAGAATGCTCTGACAGAAAAATAAGTTATTTATTCCCCAAACATCACATAACAAAATGCTTCTAAAAATGTTAAGGCTGCAACCTGACAGCCCACAGAAGCATAAAGCAAACAGCTAAGAGCATTCCTCTTTCTTTGTGAACAGAGAGAGATTCATAAGCCTCCCAACTTTGGGCAAAGAAATCCTAGATAATGCCTCAGACACGTATAATAAGAGAACACTGGAAGTCTAGATCAGTGGAGCTTATGCATAGTAGCATTATTACATTTTAAACCATGTTTTATGCTTATGGTTCAGGAGAACCTTGATTTTTTAAAAAATTAAAAAGCCATAAATAAATCATTTAAATAAACATATAGCACTTTAGCTTGAATAGCTAGATATTCTAAAATCGATTGTCAGACTTAATAGCAGACAAACAGGGAAAACGTATATTTAAAATTATTATTGCAGGGCAGAATCTAATGCAGAATTGTGCATATTAAGCTTTAAAAGTGCAATGTCTGTGCCAGATGCAGCCATGGTCCTTTCAAAAAAAAAATCATTTTATGAATTGGTACATATTTAGTTCCTTTTCTATAATCATAAGAACTGAGGACCCTATTTTAAAAAGTAGTATTCTTCAAATATTCCAGTAAATGTAGCAGCAACATAACTAAATTGCATGAAAAATAAGGCTGTGCTGCACTTAGATTTAAGTCTACACCAAATAAAAATTCTAATGACCATAACAGACTGTCTAAAAATTGCTCTACTTAATCTATATAATCTATATTTCAACAGGGTTCAACTGCTGGCAAACTGAACTATTTAAGTCTCCACCACCAACCACATCATAATATGTGGCTTATTACATGAAGCATTAGCTCTGTCCCTTCTACAAATCCTGGAAGCTACTGAAGAATGCTTTATCAATCCTGCAAGATGGTGACAATTACAGGGATATGCCATGCTCACCTACATGCGTTTGAGCTGCAAAATGTAACACTATATCAATTTTCTCAGTCTCAAATAATTCTTTTATGAAATTGGGTTCACAGATGTCTCCCTAATAAAGAAAAAGGAAAATATAAAATCAGCATGGAACAGCAAGTTATTTTTTTTCCAGTGGTAAGCATTTGATATATAATTGGTATATAATCTTATGGAAAATTGTGGGCTTTCATCTCAGTTTTCATCTTATAACAATTGCACAGTAGAATCAAGAGAGCTGGAAGGAGAGATTTTACACCAATTCCAACTTGCTTAGTACAGGAATCTAAATTAGGATTAGCACCATTCTATTCTCTCTTTTCTCCCCAAACTTCTGTCAAAACTAAATATAATCAGACCTTTAATCAGAGGACTTGATTTCCATATCACTGATTATAATCATCAATAATTCTCTGAAACGTTTCCAGTTTGGAGGGAGGGGAGATACTTAAAATACAACGTCCAGAACTGGCCACTATACTTAAAGTGCAAAACTGAACTATTATCTTGCATGAATTGGAAATTATACTTCTGGTTAAAGACAACCTGAATTGTGTTTGCTACCACATCATGTTGCTGACTCAAATTTAGTTTGCAATCAGCTACTATTCCCCAAGTGCTATTACCAAGCCAGTATCCCCCATCCTATACATTTGACTTGAATTTCTAGGTGAAACATTTTGTCTTTACCCATTCACTTTCATTTTATTTTTAACCCAACTCTCAAATTTACTCAAATCATTTAGATGATATATATGTCCCAATATATTAACTTTCTAATCCAATTCTTGGTTATCTGCAAATGTATTAATCAATCTCTCCATCTTTTCACTCAAGTGATTAATAAATCTTCTGAAGATGGTGTGCCTGGGAATATGGCAGTCTACCTGAGACCTTGTTTCACTATTCAGGAACCACTGATGATCACTCTTGGGAGTCCAATTTGAGTCAACTGTGTCTTGTCAAGCCACCCAACATGCTAGAACTGATGCCATAGTCATTTAATTTTAAAAACCCAGTGAAAGCAAAAAGTTTAATTTACCTGAACAAATTTGTAGTTCTCTTTCTCAGAAACTGTCTTAAGATTTGTTAAGCTTGCACAGTAGTCCAGCTTAACAAAAACAGAAAAGGAGACAAAGTGAGAGAAAATAAGTGTTTTATATGAGAAGTTGCTGAACACAAGATTTTTTCAGACAAAATGTTTTTGTCTGAGAAATCCAACTTTTACAGAAGCATTAAAAAAAAAAGCTTTGTGGTTTCACAGGTAAGAATGCTGATATCCTACCACAATTATAACAATTGCTGGGTAAAGTTATATAGTGGATATAAAAAGTCTACAGTCTTGTTAAAATGCCAGGTTTTTTAGATGCAATAACGATAAATCACTTCAGATTTTTTTTCATCTTTAATGTAACATAGAAGTTGTACAATTCAACTGCATAACAAACTAAAATGGTGTGTGTGTGTGAGAAATAATAAAAAGTACGATTAAGTGGTTGCGTGAGTGTGCACATCCTCTTATAACAGGGTGTGTGTGGCTGTGTTCAGAATTAAACAATCATATTCAAACTGATAGTAAATAGTAGTCAGTGCACACCTGCCCTCAATTAAAATAACTTTGATAACATATACTTCAAGTGTGCAAGTAGGATTTTTCTGACATCTGCTCAAGTTGCCTCTTACCACAAAAGCCATGGCTCCAAAAAGCTTACAAAGCATCAGCTGGGAGAAGAGTACAAAAAAATTCCCAACGCATTGTACATGCATACCATAGAACATAATGAAGATAGTCAACAAGTTCCTCACTGGACATTTTTAAGTTTCATCACAGGAGATTTTTTTAAAGAAAAGACTGGACAACCACCTATCTGAAATGGCACAGGATCTCCAGCTTGAGCGGGGGGGGGGGGGTTGGACTAGAAGACCTCCAAGGTCCCTTCTAGCTCTGATCTACTGAAGTGGGGAAAACATGGCACAACAGCGACATTATCAAGAACTGGATATCCCTCCAAACTTGATGGAAAAAAAACAAGAACAAAACTGGTCCACTAAAGGAGCTGCAGGAATTTCTGACAAGTGCTGGTTGCATACTACATCAGACAATCTCCGGTATTCTTCCTATGTCTGGGCTATGGGGTAGGATGGCAAAATGGAAGCCTTTTCTTACAAACATCTAACCCTGGCTACATTTTGCAAAAAATCTACATCAAGTCTGACAAAACACATGGGAAAATGTGTTGCGGTCTGATCTAGACCAAGGATCAACTTTTTGGACATACTTACAAAAAGTGTATTTGGTGGAAAAACAACATTGTATATTACCAAAAGTTACACATTGCCCAGTGAAGCACAGTGGTGGCAGCATTACACTTTGGGCTGCTTTTCCTCAGCTGCTACTGGGGCTTTAATCAAGGTCTAGTCAGAGTTATGAACAATTCTAAATATCAGTCAATTTTGGCACACAATCGTCAAGCTTCTGCTAAAATGTTGAAGATGAAGAGAGATACAATGAATTGAAGCATACTTCCAAATCAATTAAAAATGGCTTCAACCAAGACCAAAGTTTTGAAAAGTGTTAGTGTTTAAGGGTGTGCTGCACTTTTGCAACTATTATATATATTTTTTTGCAATTATTGTATCTCTTTTATTATGTTTCCCCCTAAAAGTTTTCAGTTTGTTAGCTTAAATGTTAAATTACATCCCTAGTTCATTCATTAGCAATCATTGTGCTTGGGAAAATTGGAACAGGAAAGACGAACAGGTTTGGTATGAATTTTAGCACCCTTCTAACTTTTTAGAAACTGAATAATACAAAATTTTATTCAGAAGCAGATTTTTTTTTTATTTGAATGTATGAATCAGAATTCATAGGTATGTTCAGTTATAAAGAAATACGGGTATGTAAATTCATCGCTATTACACCAACCTTTAGGTTACATAGCCTTATAATAGGGATGTCAAGCTCGCGTCATAACGCTGGCATTGTGTGGCATATTGCCATTTTTCCCCCTTCACTAAACCAGGCATGAGCATAGCTAGCACATGACGCAGCCAGCCCGCGAGTTTGACAGCCCTGCCTTATAAGCTTAGATTTCTCTCCCACCATGTTGTCAGACTGACACTACAACTCTTTTTTAGGGTACTGCTTAAAAATGATTTTAATTTAAACCAACCGTCTTACCTTATCCAGATTAATGATCACATAGTTAGGATACTTTTCCACAAGGGAAACTATCACATGGGAAGCACTGTCAATTTTGGAAGAAAAAAACACAGATGGTGATGTGTAGAACCCACGTCAGACTTCAGCTCTTTTCCTTAAATCTTGTTCATGGACATCAACAGCTTTCCTGGTTTTTTTGCTCTGACAGTAAGATCAGGAGTTATAAATCCTTTTCTGCTTCTCTCTCTCTCTTAAGCCTAATACGTTTAATTACCTCAAAATAAAAACTAAAGAAATATACTGTACAATGAATGAGGCTATTTTTTTTCCAGCACTTTGAAAAATGGTCATAGGATGCTACAGTATGGGTAGTCCTCAACTTACAACCACAATTGAGCCCAAAATTTGTGTTGCTAAGTGAGAAATTTGTTAAGTGAGTTTTGTCCCATTTTACAACTTTGCTTGCCACATTTGTTAATGAATCACTGTAGCTGTTGAATTAGTAACACGGTTAAGTGAACCTTGTTTCCCCATTGACTTTGCTTGTCAGAAGGTTGCAAAAGATGGACTCTGGGACACTGCAACCGTCATAAATATGAAGCAGTTGTCAAACAGTCGAATGTAAAACACATGACCACAGGGATGCTGCAATGGTCATAAACATGAAAAATGGTCATATGTCACTTTTGTCAGTGCTGTTGTAACTTTGAACGGTCACTAAGTGAACTGTTGTAAGCTGAGGACCACCTGTAATGGTACAATTTATTTTGATATTCTTTAAACCCTGTATTTTAAAGGCTAATTTTGTGGGAAATAACTAGCAAAACTTTAAATATGCAAGGTCATAGTCTATTATAGAGATTTCAAATATTTTTCCGTCTCAAATATGGTGCTTCAGACGTGTATTGTAAGGAAGGGGTTTAAATCAAAAGAAAATTATGAGTACTGTGAGGAAGTGTGCAGTATAGAAAACAGGGTGTTTTTTTTTTTTTAAAAAAAAAAGCAGAATACACAGACTTGAGAGCATAGAATCAGCCCTTAGCAGGCAAATAACTTCCCTTCAGGATTTCAAATGCATAATTTGAATATTAATGATTCAAATAGAAAAACCTTTTTTTTAAAAAGCATCTGGTTACAGCAGATAAAAAGAAATCTGGAAAAAAAAGAGGTGACTTATTACCACTGGCTTTATTTTTATATGCCCAAAAATAGAGCAAAAAAAAAGGAGAACTGAAGCTTCTTTTTACTTGCACATAGTTCAAGACAGAACTGACAAGCAACTTACTGTGTCGTCACTTTAGGAATTCAAAAAGCAGACACTATCCTTCTTTTTCCTTATATGGGGGAAGCAATTCTAGCTTTGTTTACACAGTGGTTTTGGATATAAATATTGCACATGTATATTTAATTTTTTAATTTTTATCATTTAATTTTTTTTATTAGTTAGTAATATAAAATACAAAAATAGAAAATAAATGAGGAGGAAAATTAGAGGGAGGAAAAGGGAAGGGAAAAGTGTAGGAAAATTAGAGGAAAAAAGAAAAGGCAAGCCTTGATTTCAGACTTCCTTATAAGATAACATCAAACATCAAAACTTTTTACTTTTACATAACAGTATAAACCAGCCCTTTCTGTAACAGCAAACCTACTAACCAAAGTTTTGTGGTTTTTTCCCCCCCACATCTCAAGCACAAAATCCAGAAGCGGTTTTTGGAAGGTATATTTAATTTTCTTTTTTTCTGTAAGAACACGTATGTATGTATGTATGTATGTATGTATGTATGTATATGTATGTATACATACACACACACACACATATATATATATTCCACCCAAATTACACGTTTATCTTGTTTTTGCACGCCTCGTCTTCAATCTTTTATTTTTTTTAGGATTGACACTTCTAAGGCTGGCTAAAATAAACCCCGTCGTCCTTCCCGCTCCAAAAGCACCTTTAAAAGGGCAACTTTTTTCTCAGCTTCCCAAGGACCAGGCTGTTCGGACAGCGGAAAACCCTTTTAAATCGGGAAAAAGGTTGGAAATTTGGGCATCAGCGCCGCCTCCCCAACTTTTGCCCCACTCACATGAAGCCAGCGCCTCCGGTCACTAAGACTCGCTTCGTCAAGCCCCGCGGAGCCCCTCCAGCCCGAGAGACCCCCCCAGACATCCTCCCGCGGAGCCCAGCTCCACTTCCGCTTCCTTACGTCAATTCCGTCCGCGAGGGCCACCCGTCTCTCTCTCTCTCTCTCTCTCTCTCTCTCTCTCTCTGTCTCTCTCGTTTTCGCGCACGCGTGCGCGAGGCCCGAAGAGCCGCGAGGCCCATTTTGGCGCCCTGTTCGGAGACTTTGCCACTTCTCCAACGTGGCGCCGGCGAGCCTGTGATTGCTCTATTAATCCCTGTTAAGAGCTCCAAATCCCACGTCTTTGCAGTTAATACCGAACAGGGCACTTTTTGCACAACTACGCCATACTAGGAGAAAGTCCCGAAGGTGCTTTTTTTTTTTTTTTCAAGAGGCAACTGGACTGGCTGGTTTTTCTTTCAAAACGTTTCGCTTCTCATCCAAGAAGCTTCTTCAACTCTGACTGGATGGTGGGGAATGAAAGTCTTGGAAAAAAAGAGGCAGGAGCACTACTCAGGTAACCCTGAGGATACAGACGAACTTCAAGTTGCTTCAGCGACCGTTTATTTTGAAGGCTCTTCAAACTTGACAGCTTTAAGACTTGTGGACTCCAACTCCCAGAATTCCTGAGCTAACATTACTGGAGGAGGAATTCTGGGAGTTGAAGTCCACAAGTCTTAAAGCTGTCAAGTTTGAAGAGCCTTGCTCTAAAAGGATGCAAATGGCCAGCTGTCTGCAAGGAATATAAATCCTTCCATTCTCCACTGTCCTGTCAGAGTTGAAGCTTCTTGTACTAGAAGTGAAACAAAGCCCAGTTGCCTCTTGAAAGAAAGAAAAAAGCACCTTTGGGACAACCATGACATGAGTGACTGAGGAATCTCCATAGACAATATCCAGGAAAAAGGAAACCAAATGTTGGAAGCCAAACAAGAGGAGCAGATTTCACAAAAGCGTGTCCAGGCTGTTCTTTGGCCAGGTTAAAAATGTTTTGGGAACTTAAAACCATCAAACTTCTCAATAAAACAGGCAGGGATATATTCCAAGAGACACAAACTCGGGAAGCTCTCCTTCCAGCTGCTGATCTAAAGCCAGCATTCAATGTGTTAAGGAGTTTCGAGGTTTCGAGGACCGGCGAGTTCATTTAGTATAAAGGACTTACTGTAGATTTCTGAGATGGAACAATAGCCTTCAAATGATAGAAAATATTTGTAGGTCGGGTTTTAGATTTTTGGCCGTGGTTTGCTCTCCGAGCTCGCCATTTAAGTAATAACGATACATTAAATAATTTAGTCTGGCACACAAGACATATGTAAGCTAAAGAGGAATAGGACAAGACACTTCTACAAAACTTCCCTTATGATGTTACCCTTTTCTGCTCCTCCCCAAAACAGAATCATTCAAATCCATTCGAATTAATATTTAAAAGCACTTTTGATTCATATTCGTATTTGGGACAAACAGGAGTTAAATGGCGCTGCTGGACATTTAAGCCACGCGGGCTCAGAATTGGGTCTTCGAAGATCTTCGGCTGCATGGGAAGAGCGCCCCTCGGGATCCTAAACGAGAAGTTTAAAACCGGGGCTCGACTAGATGTCCTCCTGGGTAAACTCCATCTCCACCACTACCACCACAGACGTTGCCTGCCCTGGCCGCGGTAGCCCCGCCCCCTCCTCCCCCTCCACCAATCCCATCCAACTTCAGGAACCCGGCGGGTGGAGCGTTCCTAGCAACCGTCTCCCGAATGCCAGTTGGAAGTCCTCCTTGCGAGAGGCTGGCGCGTGGCAACGGCCCCTCCCCCTGCCCTGCCCTCCCGCCCTCCTCGGGAAGGCCCTCTCATTGGCCTCCTCCCGGTAAAACCCCCTCTCCCATTGGCTGCCGCTCCTTTCCTGGTTCCGCCTGGTTTCCGCTCGCCTCAGGGCGAGTTGCAGACGTGGTGGGGATGAGGGAGAGGTGACGGCGGGGTGCCGGAGAAGCCATGGAGCGGTTCCTGTGCTTCGTCTGGGTCGCGCTCTGGAGCGGCAGCTGCGCCTGGATGCGCGGGGCTCAAGCCAAGACCGTCCACGGCGGCTTCTCCAGCGCCACGGCCCGCGCCCGGGCCGGCCAAGTGGTGGCTCGGTTCCAGTTCCGAGGTAAGAGTTCGGCAGGGGCAAGAAGCGAAGGGAAAGCGGAGCGGCTTGACGGGTGAGCCGTGACAGGCTGGCTCGTGGGACCGACCCGAGTGGGTTACCTGCCGCTCCACGCGTGTTTTTCGTGGAAATAACACCCCCCCCCCCCCCCCCCCCCCCCCCCTCTCGGGGGGGGGGGGGGAGAGCCGCTTCTTCCCTGGGAGCCCGAGGCCTGTCGTGGGGCGAAGTCGGACTGCGAGGACACGGGCCAGAATGGGCACTTTTTCTGCAGCTGTAGGCACCTTCTTCTCCCGAGGACGACACGTGTCTTTGGAGGAGGAGGAGGAGGAGGTGGTGGCGGACAAAATTTTGGAGCTTTTCGTGGGACCAACCATCAAGTACGGCTGGTCCTCAACTTACGACCACAGTGGAGCCCAACATTTATGGTGCTAAGTGAGAAATTGGTTCAGTGAATTTTGCCCTCCCCCCCCCCCAATTTTACGACTTTTTTGCTACCTTTATTAAGCAAATCACTGCAGTTGTTAAGTGAGTACCCCGGTTAAGTGAATCTGCTTTCCCCATTGACTTTGGGAGGAGTTTGCAAAAGGGGGTTCACATGACACAGGGACTTTGCCACCGTCATAAACATGAGTCGGTTGTCGAGCATCCGAATTTGGATCCTGTGACCGTGGGGATGCAACGGTCGTCGGTGTGAAACGTGGTTCACAAGTTGCTTTTTCCCGTGCCTTTGTAGCTTTGAATGGTCACTAAACAAACTGTTGTGAGGCAAGGACTACCTGTAAACAATACCCCCGTCAAGAAACTGCCATAGAGCCGTCAGTAAACAGCCCAACCAAATAATCTCTAAGACCACCTACACCCACACAAGCAAGACACTAGAATATAAATTGACAGCAAACCACACCCCTTACTAGCACTGATGATGATACCTAGTTAGGGTAATGAAATGTCTGCAAGAAAACAAGTAAACTCAGAGAGCACCAAGGACTTCTCATATCAACCCTGAGCTACAAATATTCTTCATTGTTCCCCTAGGCCAGGTGTCAGCAACCCGTGGCTCTTCGGGCCCTCTGAGGCGGCTCCCTGACCCATCACTGGCTGGCCCCACCTCTTGCCCTCCCCTCCCTTGCCTGGCCTGAGAAGGTAAGAGTGACAGCAGGGATGAAGAAGTGGTCGGGGGCTGATTCTCTGGCACCTCACTCTGGCTGAAGCTTCTTCTGTCCCTTGATGGGAGTGAGTGACATCGAGTTGGCCACACCCACCCAGGTTTTTTTTTCCCCTGTAGGAAATGGGTTCAAATGGCTCTTTGAGTGTTTAAAGGTTACAGACCCCTGCCCTAGGCCGCTAAGGGCTACTGTGCATCCTCATGACTGCAAAAGTAAAATTGCCTCTGAGTTGAGCTATGGTTTCCTTGGCTGTGTGTGGAAGTGGGTCTTTATTGCCTTCCGGGAAAGAGTTTATAGCTAGTCCTCAACTTAAGACAATTTGTTTAGTGACCATTTGAAGTTAAAAGAGCACTGGAAAAAAAGTGATGACCGTTTTTCGCACTTACGACAGTTTGCAGCATCCCCATGGTCATCTGATTTATATTGGGATGTTTGACAACTGCTTCATATTTATGAAGGTTGCAGTGTCCCAGGGTTATGTGACCATCTTTTTCGACCTTCTGACAAGCAAAGCCAATGGGGAAGCCAGATTCACTTAACCAGGTTACTAATTTAACAATGCAGTGATTTGCTTAACAAAAGTGATAAGAAAAGTTGTGAACAAATTTCTCACTTAGCAACATAAATTATGGGTTCAATCGTAGTCATAAATCAAGGACTACCTATACTTCTGCACTGGAAAGTCATGGTAGTCTGCCTCAGTTCTCCTTAATCTCACTCTGTGTGGTTTCCTTTGGGATCAGCCTTTTCCCCCAAGGTGCAGCTGGTTGCTATGTTGCTCATTTGGGGCCTCTAAAACCTCTTTTAGCTGGTCACACTGCTGTAGGCTCCATTTTATTTGCCTTGCTTCAGTTACCAAGCTTTGACTAGGAATTTAGCAGAACTGGCAAATGTGTTCTTGCCTATGCAAAGAAATATTTTTGGTGAATTATACTATTTTTGTAGAATCTTCATAAACATTTTGGCTCTGAGAGAGAAGCACAGTAATTGATAGGTTGATGTTAGGTTTACATATAATACAGCAGCCACCTTCTTAGCCTAGGGTTAGGGTTAGTTTTGAAAGATTGTGAGCTTTTGCATATATAAAGTCATCTGTGAATGCCATTGTGGTCACAGAGAATGTGATCTCCCTGTATCTCATAGCTTCTGTTTCAGACTTCCAATACTGCTCAGTATTTTCTAGCAGCTGGGTGACCACTACACCATTCAGTTGTGAGCACTTTATGAATTTAGTTCATTACATGAGTTCCTTTGCAAGAAGGAATGTCAAATCTTGCCTACCACCTGTGACTTTCATGAACTGATTATTTTGGAAGTAACTCACACAAGTGTTTTTTGCCCCTAATTGCTGGAATAATGCAATTTACTTGATGATAAATATCTCAGTTGGAGCACCCTGCCATCAGTTTGCAGGGCAGTTTTTGATTCTCCAGCACAATGTTGGGCCAGCCTAGTACTGCTGTTCATTGGGTTATTATAGCGGCAAGATAAGAAAGTTAAGCTCTCCCAAGCAGAGAAGAAACACTTAACAAGCACTGACCTGGAAGCCAGAAGTTGCAAGCAGTTCTGAGCAAGTCAGGAATATGACAGAATATGGACCAAACCTTCCATCCTCTTCTGTCCTGATAGAGGCATCTAGTGAAGCTCCAGAGGAAGAAAAGCTTGTTGGAACCCAGTATAAAGTAAAACTGTCAGCTGTCACCTTGTGTTTGCTGTGCTTCGCTGTTATGTGGTGACAGACTGCTATGAATTGTGGGGAGGGGGGATGCTTGGGAAATCTAAAGTAGAGACTGTA